GCGCCCCCGCCGCCGCGCGCACCGCGCAGGCGCCGCCAGCCCGCGCAGGCGCTGTGGCGACCGGGACACGGCCGCCATCTTGGACATGGCGGGGCCGGGACGGGCGCCCTGAGGCCCGGTAACGCCCTGAGGTCCGGTAACGCCCTGAGGTCCGGTAATCCCCGGTCACCGCGGCGGGAGGGACTCCCTGTCCAATTTTCCTCCCTTTAGGGGACAGTCAGCCCTCTGGAAGGAGCGTATTCTGCAGGTTGGGGTTTTGCTCCCCCGCCCCTTCGCAGCCTGTGGTGCCACTCAGAAATTAATGAACATAAAACTGGAGATAACACACTTGTAGACAGTTATGAAGGTGTTTTGTTAACGGGGCCGGTGTTTCCTTATCTACACCTTGCTGCAGGTGTTAATGGCTCTGCGTGGACAGAACCTACTCCTGGTAACAGCAAAACATCGAACCGTGTTGTCAGTTGTGGCCCGTATTTGGCATTTCTGAGGTATATTTTTAACTAAAATCAAAAGGCTTAGTCAGTGCTCTATCTGAAGATTACTCTGATACTCATAAAAGGCCCCTGTTCCTGATAACAGTTACCAAACTACGACCGCTTTAATTCTGGGTGAATATAATCCATGGCAGGTTTTAATGTCATCTAGAAAATCCTTCTGTGAGTATTCTAGAATCTACCAATTCAAACAAGACCTGGGGTTTGTCTTCACCATTCAAAAACCGTTATTAGTTAATGCTGGTGGTACCAAAACATCGCACCTTCTGATTCCAGCGAGGAAAAGGCTTCAAGATTCCGATGGGATGGAGGTGCCCCGGGCTGAGCTCTCACCATTGCCATCGGGAAGCTGTTCAGCACCGACCTGTTGCCGTTTCCCTGTTTGCCAGGGAAGTTTGGAAAAAATAATTGGGTGTGATGTCAGCCTGAAATGAGATTTTCACTCCTGGAGCTCACTGCCCATAAATATGCAGCCATTAGAGTTCATGCTGCTGGAACCGGGATTACCACTGGCGACGGGGAACCACACCAAATGGAACAGGATAAGAAGAGGGAATATTTTATTCAGTTTTGTCTAATAATGCATAGGCCCTTCTGATGCAGAAAGAGAAAAAAGGACTTAATCCAAAATACTGACTAATCTCTGTGCTGGTAAAAATACAGTCATAAGGGATCCTGAAGAATTTTCACTGTTCTTATAAACCTAATGCAAAATTTTGACACTTTAATCATCAACAATGTTTTATCTGAAATCGCAAAATGCACAGCAGAAATTAATCCAAAAAAATATTAATAACTCCATTGAGTTATTCTCAAAGAATATTTCGAAGGAAGCAAAAGCATGTCAATACTTTTGAAGAAAAAACAGAAAAAGTAAGATGTGAACTTACATGCTTTCTATTAAATACATTCTAGTTGACATAAATGTTATAAAATATATTTTACTTTTTTAAAAGTACATTCTGCCTTTTTAAAGTGCATCATTGCTACCACGTTGCACAGAGCCACTCCAGGGACTGGCCTGAAGTGGGAGTGTGATTACGTCATGCGCCGACTAGAAACAGATTCAACTTTAAGATTCTTCCCAGATCACCCAAAATCCTCAGTGTTCAACAATACAGTTGGTTTTCTCTTTGAAAGCAGCAAGAGGAAGATGTATCTGAAAATTTTTATAAAGTCGACTTCAGTGTTTATCTGTTCAACACTTATTAATTGTCTACAATACCAGAAAATTCTAACCAAAGGGTATGGATCATAAAGTGAGATCACCACAATTTGTTCATCTTAACAGTTACATGTTTGTTTTAACTGGTGTCCCACTAAAAGCAGCAATTCAAGGAGATTTGATGGGCAGGACAAGCAGTATGAGAACTTCAGCTCCGTTTACTGATTGCTACATCTCTCGGATGAGCTGGGATAAGCAGAAGGAAGAAAGTTTAATTCTAGATATTTTCTCTGACGTTTTAACCTGACAGAACATCAGGGGCACAATCAGAAATTGGTAAGAATAGATGATCTTTGGGGAAAGCATATTTGGGATTTTATACCATATTTTGTTCAGTTTCAGAGCTTTTAAAAATTACTGTTCCTTTCAGTCACAAAACAGGGAAGAAACAGTATTTTTTCCCCCTATAAACTGTTCATTTCAAAGAAAACAACTTTGCTTAAATTCCAAACTCTTATGTTAGATAACTAAGTCTCACAGATTTCCCAATTTTATTTTAGATCTCATATCATTTAAAAAAAATCCCATACTAAATAATCTAGAAAATGGAGCAAATCCCATGTAACCTCCTCCTGCAGCTCCTTGGTGGCCGATGAGAGGCGTGTGCCTGTGGAGAGCGGCACAGGACCCAGCACTGTGCCAGGAATCAGGCTAAAATACGTAATTACACAAACACATCGATTTCCTAATGGTGATTGTGGGGTTTTTTTGCCATTTAAGTTCCCTGGTACCCCAAAATGTACATTCTGTCTGAGCTAAGCATTTCTGCTGTGTTAAAAACGGGGTTATATTGCTGGGAAAGACTGTAATTTTTGGCAATAAGCAAGCACGCTGGTACAGAATGATTATTTCTTGTCCATATTGTTGGTCGCATTTTCAGGGAATGGAGCTGCTTTTTCTGCCAGGAAGGAGTTTGGGAGAAGACAGGACTAGAGCTCAGGGCACGGTCAGGCTTTGGGAACGACTCGCCCTCCTTCAGCTGGAGGATACAGGTTTGGAAAAAAAATGGTTTATATTTATTATTCACAGATGGAACTTGGGGAAATAACCGTCTTCCTCTGTAGCCTCTGTCAACTCCACAGCTATGTCACATAATTTAAAACCTCATTCCTCAGTAAGGTTCATGAGACCTTTTCAAGGTTCATTTGGAAGGTAAAAACAAGGATTGCTGTTAAAAATGTATAGGCCCATAGAGACGCCAGGGAGCTAAATCTCCCGAACACCGGGCTGTATTTCTGGGCATCCCAGATGGAGCCGTTGGCAGCACGGTCCCAGGGAAACCCAGGGCATCAATGACTCCAGATTGAGGAACAGGCAACGGGCCAAATGGCTCTGGCAAACCTCCCGTAGTGCCCGGAGAGCCGCTGCTCACCTCGCCTGGCCAAGGGCTCCACGGCAGAGGCAAGACCCAAATCAGGGTGAAAAAACACCCAAAGACGCCGCTCACCCCCCGCCTCAGGGGCCACCCCCATTTTCCAGCCCTGAGCGAACAAGTCTGTTTATGAAATAATCATGTCTTGGCTTTACATTTGCTAATTACCACACTGCAGTGCCCTGCCAAAGCACTGACGTGGATATTCCTCCCAGACACAGGTTTTACTCTGTTATATTCAAGCTGGGAATTCCCTGTAAAATACTGATGTGCTTTAACATCGTCCTGGTTCCAGCCAGTCCCCAAATCCATGACTTTTATATGCGGCAGAACAGTTCCAGGTGCTCAGTACTATTTACCCGAGCTGTGCTGAGACAGAGCTGTGTAACAGCAGAGAGACTGCCTAATTCCACTTGGAAGAAATTAATGCAGCTGGAAGTTGCTAAATATTCAAGATATATGTTATGTTTTGAGGCAGAAATAGTATTTATTAGTACATGTGCAGTGTAAAATAATACCTTCAGAATGTGCCTAAGCAACACCTCCTCTTGTTTTATCTGGTCACGTCCTTTCTCTATTCTGATACATCATCACCTATATTTTTGGGAATTTAACCTGTCCTTTGCTACAAAAGATTAATTATTATGCACTAACTTAGCACCTTCACACCTATCTCGGTGGTTCGCGCAAAGAGTCTGTATTGTCCCCATTTATTCTAGGGGGTTTGGAGAGTCTTGAACCTGAAGAGAAAAAAAATAGAGCTTGGATGTGACAAGAATGTGTGATGTGATCATAAAGGGTGAAACTGACAGATTCAGAAGATGAGCATAGAAAGTGCCAATAATGAGGGGGTAGGAGGCAGGAAGAGGGCACTGACAACGGTAAAAATGCACAATGCAGTTCTGAAAATACCTTTTGTGATAAGCAACATTCTGTTTTGACTTTTGGATGCATGGCACAAGATAGAATGAAACTCAGGCTGGTCTGGAGGAATGTGAAGGTTTGGGAGGTGAGGAGATTGGGTACGAACACTGCAACACAAAGAGCAGAGTCTCTGAAACCAGACGGGAATTCACTTTCAGACGTGCCAGGTCGGGGTAAGAGCGGTGGGAAAAGGCTGTGACAGGTCACTAGTTTTCTTGATTAAATGTCAGTACGAGTTGTATACACAGAATAAACCAAAATTTTACAGGGAATCAAATCCAGCAAACATGGAAATCCTGACATTTCCTCTAGGCAAACGGTAACATTAAGGTCCCAGTTAAGACCTCAAGCTTGGGACCAAGGATGTAAAACAGAAGGATCCAAAAAGACCCAAGCTATTCTGTGAATACACCACGGAGTGTTTCCATGTAAACATCACCCTGTCTTTTGTTTCCAGCCTCCGAGTTCCCAAGATGTCCTGAAAAGGTCTGTACATGATCTGTCCTCTGCCTCTGTTCCTCAGCTCTTCACACCTGGGCACGGCAGCGTTTGACTTTTCCTTCGTTTCCTTACGCAGCCTTCACAGCACAAGCAATGAATCACCTCACCACATCACCCTTTGGATTTGTGTGGCTGTTCTTCTCAGCTTCTGAAGCGACACTTGACAAAGCCACACTCATCCAGAGAAACACCCAGGGAGGAAGAGGCCCGACGCTCATTCCCCTCAGGCAGGTACCTCCTGCCCCCGCGCTCTGCACCGCAGAGGGGACATCTCGGATGGAACCACCCACTCCAAACCTTGCACCTGCAGAAGAGCATCCCCTGCTCTACCCTGACACGTTTAGACGGATGGGTCACAAACCACATGGATTTTATAGCACATCCCAGCATTCTGAACATGTGGATCTAAAGGGGAAGCCTGTCCACAGTGCTAGCGCTGCCGGCAGGACACGTATGTGGGCTCTGGGGGTGGAATTTGAAATCAGGTGGCTTTGAAATAATTAAATAAATCTGATTTGATGTGAATGGATTTGGGTTTGGTTCAGACTCTGAAATGACTTACGCTTCAGAT